AGCACTCTGGGTGTCACTTGAAAGTGATATTAAATTTACCTTGTATCTTGGGTGACCTCTGAGTACTATTATAAATCTACAATCTAATCGTCAATTAAACAGGAGAATCCACCTCTCCTTTCCATTTCTTTTGAGAAAATTATCTTGTATCGCATCATCTTAGGGAAAAGTTGTGTGAGATGTCTTCAACTTTTGTGACAAAGGCCTCCTCCTACCCTGTTATCCGATCAATGTAGTAATATGGCATTCCAACAAACTAATGTGACCACATGCAAATGGCTGCACGACACCCTTCCATAGACCAGTGCTGTGCAAAACTTAGTATACAGCATAATACCCCAAACCTCGGGTACTTTGGAATTGTTTAGCGTTTGCCTTATGTACAAATTCAGAAAATTCTCGCAACTTCACGCCTTTCAAACAGACGTTTCTTTTAGTGTTTGTGCTTCATTCTTTATCAAATCGTTTGTGTAAATTAATGTAAATTATGCATAAAATGACAAAAATTATGATTCCAGTTTGCTAACTTGTGTATAGATCTTTAACCTTGACTGTTTATGTAATATACTTTTAAAGTGGTCCAGTTGTGTAAGGACAGTATAACATGGATTTTGTTTACTATTCAACTATAGGCCTATGTCCATATTGAGAGTTACTAAACCAGTGTTCATACTGTCAAACAATTCATGTATAATATATACATGTAGAATGTTGCATTGTCAAATGATGCATTTTTGTCAGAGGACAGTCATGTTTGCTCATTCAGGACCAATCGTTGCAATTGTTGTATACGCGCAAATGTTTCTGTGTTTCTGATTGTGTTGAAATAGGTGCAAGTGGACAATTTGCTTGTTTTTATCATTGCAAGCCTCTTCAAAGTATTGATTGACACTAGATTGGTTTGTTCCAAGTATGATCAATATTCTGTACAAAAACTTACATTTTTGTTTCTAACAGTTTTGATATTTTGCAGTTGCCCAGGTGATAACAGTCGTTTATAACATGCCCAAAGGCAACCATTCAATTTGGTAAAAGCAGTTCTGCAGGAGAGAAAAAGTATACTTTGAATCAACATTTTGATTTATTCACATTGGAAATGAAAACTGAATGTTAAAATGTTTAACTGTTGTTGCTGGCATGACAAGATTTTGATTAAAATGAGATTTAAACACTGTATTTACGAAGCTGAACTGAGTGCAATTTTAAATGACGGGGATTTTTTTACTCATTAATTTACATATTTCAAGGGATATGGGATGGGATCATTTGTATTTATCCCAAAAGTAACCTACCGAATTGTAATCAAAAAGCTCACTTGGATTAAAGATCGTACTGGTACTAAACACCCCGTGAAATTATTCCATCTGGCTTGCTGTCATTAAGAAGAAATAAAAAAATGTAGGTGATTTCCAAGTCAATTGACTGATTTTTGAAATAAGAGTTCTATGGACGAAATCGCGTTTATTGATCAAAAGTTTGTGCATGGATATTTCACTCTTTTCTTGAAAAGTGTAATATCCAAAGCTTCAACATGTTAGGTTTAGAGTATTCTTCTGTGAACAGTGATAATATTACATATATTGGAAACAAACAAATTGCACGAAATACAAATGTTCCTATGCCTTTAAGCCATGGTTTACAAACTACATAATTGTAATTTGTATCTTGTGATCATTAAATTGCAACTCTGTAAGATAAGGTCATCACTCGGGCACGGACTCTAAGTCAAGATAATCTGCTGACTTCTGGATAGTTTGGTTTCTGTCATAAAAATAAACCACAAAGGAGAACTGACTCGGTGCATTATAATAACGTGAAAGTTGAACAAAGAAATTGACTGGAGCTGGTTTGACCCTGTGACCTCCGGATTCCTGTTCCGGTACGGTAATCCGGAACAGTCATCCTGCTACAGTCAATTTGTTTATTTAACTTAAAAACAAGATTTGAAAGTTTGCATGGTGGAAAGATACTACGATAAGATTAGTTTGCGGTAGCACCATGTGAATAAATCAGTCAACTTGCATCCTTCTCAGCTTCACCGGTTTCGAGCTTCACCAGTTTGCATCCTTTTCATGCCTCCCTGCACCCATCCGTATAACATCTCATCATCGTTGGAATCCCTCATTCTCCTGACGATGGGCAGATCGAGAGCAAACTGTTCGAAACATTAAGTCCCTCTAGTTCTTTTCAGAACCACACATACTCACAAAAGAGATTTATTCACAAGGTGCTACCGCAAACTTATCTTGTCTTAACCCTAAAGGGGCCGGGGGGGCGGAATGCCCCCCCCCCTCAACATTTTCCGTGATAGCCTCTAAAAAAAAAATTTCGCGACCCGAGCTGTTAGGACTTTTTAGCCTCGAGCTTTGCGCATCTTTTGATACCAAAAACATAAAAATCGGACCACGGGTTGCCGCGTAGCAAAAACTTTTCCGGCGCTATGCGCCGTGAAAACTGAATTTTTGCATAAACGTCGTGTACACAGAGCAGAATTGCCATTCGTACATATGAATAATTAATTAGCCATAATTCCAAAACCCTTTGACCTATAGTCATGAAATTTCTTGGGTATGTTTAGGAAGAGTTGCTCTATGCATGTGCCGAGTTTCAAAATTGTTCGTCACTCGATGGCCGAGATCTTAGGGGGGCGGAATCCGCCCCCCCCCTTCCGGCTGAGAGATGGTCAAAATAACCCGGCCCCTTTAGGATTAACTTGAAAATAAAAATTATATATCTGATATTTGCACTGTTTGGCGGAAGTAAGTTTATTGGTTAACTATGTGTAGAGAAATGTTGGAATTTGTAAGTCATTTGTATTATTTGTTATTGGTGCAAAAACATTTCTGATCTCTTCTTTTGTTTTTCCAGATATTTTGGGCAAAGTTTAAGACGTCCGGGATTTTTATATGACATTGTGTACTTTGTATTATTATTATCATGTAATAAATCATTGCATGCAATGACTTGAGTCAATCAAGGAGAAATCTTTGAGGTTAGATGATTGTTGTGTTATGCCTCCATTCCTCCCTCAGTGATGGACCAATCTCCCGCCTCTGAATTCTACAGCTGGGTCACCACTTGGGTTTTGTAATCAGGCATGCAGGCATGGGCGTCTACACAAATTTTTCCCCAAAATTCTCAATTTATCACTTTTCCGAGCGTCAGCAGGGGAGAATTTGCCCTACCCCCCCCATCAAATTAAATTAACAGCAATATGGCTTCGCACCTCTTTTTCCTTACCCCCCTCCCCTTTTCCTCCCCCCCCCCCCCCGTTTTCCAGGGAGGAGGGGGGGGAGTGCCCCCTTGCCCCCCCCCCTCACGACGCCCATGCATGCAGGCTTCATAATGAGGATATCAAAAGAAATTCCTTAGAAATTATATCAACCCAATCACAAATTTACTTCATGCAATAAAAACAATGAGTTGACAGCTAAATCACTGATGGATCAGAAGCATTTATTGTTGGGGGATTGAAGAAAAGGGTCACCGACAGGCCAGTTGTTGCTAATTCCTTATGTGGAGGGGCGGGGCTAGATCACATTTATGGGGGGGGGGCAGTGTTTCTTCTCTTTCTTTGTATTATAAAGTGGCAACGGGCGGGGATGAATAGACTACAATTTCGTGTTGAAAACAGTCGTCTTCACTTGTTCCCTGGTGGATTAATCTTAAAGGCATTTCTAGTGGCCCCCACTTCAGTCTGCAAGACAGCTTCTTTGATTACTTCAGGACATCTTCAAATAAGTTGAAGTTGTCTTGAATGAATCGTTGTTTGATTACATTGTTTTGTTGTGGACCTGTTGTGTTTTGCTGTTGTGGGCTTAGCGACACCACGGTGACTCTTATTTGAAAACAAAAAGCCTTTTACAAATATTTTTCTAGCACCCAATGAACAAAAAATAGAACTTTACCTATTAACACCCCCTCTTCAATTCATCCCCTTTCATGAATTAATGATACTTGTGTAGGCCCCACTACCAATAAACAACTGTACTTTAAGAACAAAACGCACTTTTTGTTTGACTTCCCTTCGATATTCCCTAAAAAATGTTTTTGTAAAATTAAATTAAGCTGTCTCCATTTTTTTTGGGCGGAGGTGGGCAGGCATGGATTCGGGGGGGGGGGGGAGGGGTTTGGGGTCAAAACGCCCCCCAGCTCTGTCAATTGTTTTTGTCATAGAAACTAATTAAAATTAATGCAACCCCCCCCCTCCCCCCACTGTGACACCCCCAAAAAAATATACTGGTAATAATATACTGGTAAAATTCCTGGATCCGCCCCTGGTGGGGTTATTATCAGTGGACAAGTTAATTTCGCCGCACTAATCGAAAGCCCGCCCTCTATGGCTACATTTATTAAATGGAGGAATATCAAATATTAAATATTTAATACAGGAATATTATTAAAAAATAGAGGAATATAGAAGTCGCGGCACTCTAAATATTTCTAAATGGGCGTTGCGGGGAGGGGGAGTTATCGCTTGATGAAAAAAAATTGCACCTGTAAAAATTTGCATATACGTTCCACAAGGGCTATACCAAATTAATGAAAAAGGGGTGAGCCATCCATCAATACAAAAATAAGGGAACTCAGTTCAAAATAAAATTTCTTTTTAGCAAACTATTGAATTTGAAGACGATCTTTTCTTGGATACAAGTCTCCAATACTGTTTTATATAAAAATTGTGAGAATTAAAAAAAAATTCTTTTTAGCAAACTATTGAATTTGAAGACGATCTTTTCTGAGATAGGCCTACAGGTCTCCAATATTGTTTGATATAAAAATTGTGGGAATTGAAAAAGATGGTATGCAAACATTGTGAATTAAAATAAAAACGACTTTTCCCCATGCTAAAAACCCTGAAACTACCCCAGCACAAAATTTGCCCGGTAGCTTTCATTGGTGAGTAAGGCGCCGCAGAAATAACTGGTTCGCACTTCCCAATGCTTCTGAAATCATTGCAATAGTACAGGGACCAGGGATTTGTTTACAAACCAATCTCACGTGGTTCGTTGCGCGTTCTTAAATTGGCGGGGCACGACGTGGAGGACTTTCGAAAAAACGTCACAACAGTGAAAGTAAGTTTGCCAATTTTTGCCTGAAAAGTTAACCATTTGGCCTTGGAAAGCTAGGTGGAAGTGATTGACCTACTGTAGATTCTTCTGAAGTTATAATTTTTTTTGCGTATAGAGAACTTTTCCACCCATATGTGCAGAAAATCAAAGCCCTGCATTCTCTGCGGTCACGCACAACGGTGCATTTACCCGGCGACCTGCACAACCCACTGCGTAGACCGGATTATAGTATACATAACTCATAAGCAGCCCGTCGATCCTCAGAACAAATGCGATGTCTGATTTGACAAGAAAAGTGCCCCTTGTTCTTCTCAACCAATCAAAACGTTTGTTACATGAATGGAAAGCTTATTGTGTTATCTTTCAGAAGCCGTGTGAGCAGAGGCGTAGCCAGTAATTTTTTCAGTGGGGGCGCTGTGGGGGGGGGGGGGGGGGGGGGGGGCTGGGACATTTCATGGGGGGGGGGCGTCATGTAGATCAATGATAATTTTTTTAGAAACTCAAAATCTCTGTGTGGGGGGGGCGAATGGGGGGGGGGGCGACAAGGTTTATTGGGGGTTGTTGCCCCCCCCCCCCGGGTTCACACTTGTGCGACCGGGTTCACACTTGTGCTGTTCGAAGAAGTAAACCCGCACCCTCAAAAATCAGGGAATTGTGCCGTGACCTCCATAGGAAACCCAAAATTTCCACTGAGTTACCCGTCTTTCAATTAAAAAGTGCACATAATTATTCGCCTTTAATCATGAAGAAGTTATATTCAGGTGAAAGAGGAAAATCTTTATTTTGTGATGCGATACAAGGAAGTAAGTTTAACAAACATACTTTCCGCATATTTACGAAAGTTTGCTCAGAGCGCCCAGTCTTCCCACGTAGACAGAGCTTCACTAGTGGCGAGTGAGCAAATGCTCCATTGTTCTCCATATGGGTGTCACAGTGGGGGGGGGGGGGGGGGGGGTTGACTTATTTTTTAGGAATTTGTATGACAATTTTTTTTGGGGGGGGGGGCAGAGCTGGCTGGGGGGGGGGGGTGGTGTCCCCAAAAATCCCCCCCCCCCCCGATCCGCGCCTGCATTTGCAATGCATGCTGGGCATGGATAAAAACATGAATTTTATCAGACTGTCTTTTTCATTGACATTCAAATTTGGCAGTTGGAGTATATTTAGCCGGCACCGGCTTTCTTTAAGCGAATGATATTTTGCCGAATAGGCACTGAACATGCGCAGTGACATTTTTTGGGACTTAAAAATAAAACATAGTACCTTCGCTTGTACCCCCACCTCCCTCCCTACAAACAGAACGCTTGTCAGGGCTGACGTCATTTGAGCTCTCATTGGATAGATTTGCGTGACCTGTGACGTACATGTAGAACGTGTCACACAAACTAACTTCCGGTGCCCATCATGCGTAGTGCGTGCTAGCTGCATGTGAAGGTTAGTCCCATAAATGTGACGGTAATACTGGACTTCCTGCTCTGGTTAATAGGGAGGTAGACCAGTACACCGTCACATTTATGGGACCAATAAACTACAAAGTCTAAATGTGAACAATAGAAACTAGACAAAGTTTTACATTGTCAGGTACATGTACCAAGTGTGGACTTTATTTACGGAGGTAGTCCGGTAAATTGGCCACATTTATGGGGCCAGACATTTGAACAGCTATGAGGGATGACACCTTCTTGAATGTTTTGTTGATTATTTTGTGGAAAGAGGGCATGATGTCTTTGATTTATTGGGGAAATTATGGGGTCAATGACGAAGACAACCAGAAAACAGGCTCAAAAACCAAGATGGCGACAGTGAAACTCGATGCAATGAAGGAATGATGCTGATTATGCTGATTGGCTGGATAAAAATTAAAAATTTTTTAACATGTTGTTATTAGCCAATCAGCATCGGGCTAAGCTTTCATTCTGTCTGGCGTGCACACGTGTTGTAAGAAGTACAACGTGCACTTCGTCTTTGAATGCAAAAAATGGGGAAAGTCACATTTTCTTTGAAAGTGTGTTTCAAAATTCCAACAAATATGAGTAAATCTGAAGACAAAAGACTGCCGTGCAAGAGTCACTTTGGTGCTGAACAGTCATTTTAACCGGAACTTGTTAAAAATAGAGGTGTCCTGACGATGACTTTTACCCAAGTCTCAGTACATAATGTAAGCCCCATCTGAGTCACAACTGCGCGTGTGCACATCACATGACAACAATGGTCTGTGGATAAACAAAGCGGAAAAGACTTCCACACCCCACCTGGACATCACTTGACGCCCTGTGCACAAACCCTTTGAGACTGGTCTGAAAAAAAGTCTGTGTTTTTTCAGTAAATACTTTAATATTTTCCCTGCAAAATTTGACTTTTTAGGGCATGTTATTGGAAAAATTAATGATGTCCATGCATGTATAATGGAATTCTTTTCTTATAGTAAAAAAGAAGATGGAACTTTTGTTTCCACCCTAGTTGCAGCATACACATATGATCAGTACAAAACAACTTAAACCATGGTGCCGTTAAACAATCAACATTTGCATCTTCTTCACAAAAAGAACTTTTCTTTGATTTCGTTGGTACCCCGCTATGATTTTGCATGCCTGTGGTGAACTTTCGATCCACAGACCCTAATCGTCATGTGATGTGCGCACATGCAGTTGTATGAAGGACATTTACTATTAGGTCAGGGAGCCAGACGATGCTGTAACGATTGCTGCAACAGTAGCCCCTGCATTATTTTTAACATTTTGGACATGATCTGGCGATAGTACTTACAAGGCGTTTCAAATAATTAACAATCCAAACATTTGCCAACAAAAACATCAGATTTCACCCTCAAAACGTCCACAGAATTACTACATACGCCACCTGAGATACCATTACAGATTTATGACTTTAAGATCAAGATATTAAACGATACTTACAGTCTGGATGAAAGTGAAATATCGTTTATGAATATCGGCGAGGGCTCCATTGCGAATATCTTGCGGACATCATTTTCCAATTTTTCCTCCTTTCTTTTCCAATTTCAGTAAACTATGGCGACAGGTGTCCAACATGACCTGATGAAGCAGGCACAGTGCTTTTGGTCAATGCTGGATGAGCTTGCAGAGACCTATGAAGATGCATACAGGAAGTTCATGGCCACAAACCTCCAAAGAGGACAGCAAGAATTGACACCGGCCAAGCCATGGATGTGTGTCAAGACCCGTATCATGGTAGGTTCATTTAGGCTGAACATATGTGTGTGTTTACGCTAACATCCTAACAATTATCCAGGTTGGTAGGTAGGACAATTATTTTGTTTTTAACTTTCTTTATGTTTGTCTGTCAGTCGAAATGCTATTACTCTGGTTATTAATTAACCTGTTGAATTGTATAATTTAACCATCAACACACCACAATACTCACATAGGGGCAATTCCGTAAAATCCAACGGACCAATCGGACCACATGATGTACGTGTACAATGTCGTTAAGGTGGTGGTACGTTTGTTTGGTCTGTAATTGTTTTCTACTCATTAGATGTCACATCATTAGTGATGTATCACATTCACTTATCCAACAGCAGCTCATTAAAGTGTCTGACATTTATGCCCAAATTTACAGAATCGCCGACAGCGAAGACCTTTTTTCATTTTCAAAATGTACTTTGGTTTCAAAGATTCAAATTCAGCAAATGGTCAGTGAGGGATGCCAAACACAAGCAAGTGAAGATGACGTCATTACACAGCGCCCTCTTGTGTCACGTCAAAAAAAGTTAATTTTGGTAAACCCTCCTATGCAAACATACATTTTGTGCCAAGTAGTCCTTTCAGTCCAAATCAATCAAGTGGCTGTTTTCAACAGTTAAGAATTCCCAGCCTACACAGGCGCGGATCCAGAGGGGGGTTTGGGGGGTCAAAAAAAAAACCCCAGCTCTGTCAAACATTTTTTTTTCAATAGAAATTCATGAAAAAAAAATGCGAACCCCCCCCCCCCCCTGCTCCGACACCCACATTTTGTTTGCTAGTGATAATGTCCATGGGCGTCGCCAGGATTTTTTCTAGAGGGGGCAAATTTTTTTTTTGCCCAAAAATGCTTGTATTTCTCAACACATTCTCGATTTATCAGTTTTAGAGGGGGGCAGGGACATTTTGCCCCCCCCCCAACTCATTAAATTTACACCACTTTGTCTTCGCGCCTCTTTTTCTTTTCTTTTTTTTCTTTTCTTTTTCTTCCTTTTTTTTTTTTTTTTTTTGGCTTTTCCGGGGGGGGGGGGGGGGCAAGTGCCCCCCTTGCCCCCCCCTCGCGACGCCCATGATAATGTCCGCTTGCAAAAAAAACATAAAGAGCCAGCTTGGTTATTTTTGAAGTTGCAGTCAAAGTTAGGGACCATTCAGAATTTTCAATGTTTTAAAATTTCGATCTTTTTTCCAAATTATTTTGACCCACCCACCCACCCCTAATTTCGATTTATAAAAAACTGAACATGTACATCATGTAGATTGTAGGCCTACATGCACTTGCATGTACAGTGTAGGCATACATATACTTGAACATGTACATGTGTACCCATGTACATGCGTGTCTAGTTCAGTGACGGCGTGAAGTTGTCGGTCTTCCTCTTTTGCAGTGGTGGCCTTCAGTTTTCTTGCGTTTTGCCAGCTGATATGCTGTTGGGAAAGACAGGTTGCAGTCTTGAAAGCCACAAAGATGACCGTACGCGTGGTTTTGTCATTTTCTGGATTAGCCCCATAAATGTGGCCAATTTACTGGACTACCTCCGTAAATAAAGGTTACACTGCCACCACTGTACAAAAACATGTCGAACTTTGTCAAATTTTGATTTTCACATTTAGGCTTAGTTTGTAGTTTATTTTTGCTTTAGAAGCATACTTACCCTCTTTTTAGGCTAATCAGAAAGTGCTGCCTTTTCAGGTGTCTATTTTTCGTGAAATTTCCAGATTCGTTTGCACACGTTTGCGTATCAAAATTTCAACATGAAATTTTACGAAAAAATAGACATCTGAAAAAGGCAGCACTTTCTAATTAGCCTATAAAGGGGGTGAGTATGCTTCTAAAGCAAAAATAAACTACAAACTAAGCCTAAATGTGAAAATCAAAATTTGACAGAGTTCGACATGTTTTTGTATATGGTGGCATTGTGGCCTTTATTTACGGAGGCAGTCCAGTAAATTGGCCACATTTATGGGGCTATTTCTGGATGAGGTGGATGACATGTGGCATTCGAGGTTGTGCCTGTCACGTGAGGTAGCTGAGAAAAACATTCCCTCGTCCCCCGCCCAGTTTGCAGGGCGGGGGTACGAGCGAAAGAAAAACATCAGGTTTGGGCAGTCATCACATCACAGGCTGCGGTCCTCGTAGTCTTGGAGTCCAGTGGTTGAATAGTCCAGTTTTTTTATAGCGATTGGTAATTGACCCCCGCGGCGTGTTATAGAGCCGATCTAGTACACCTGGTACCCTGCTGCCTCTGCACAGCCTAACCGCTAGAAACGCCCGGCATCCAAGTCGGAAAGATTTTCATATAAGAAGTTCACTAATTTTCCTCTGTATTAACTAACAAGCCCCCAGATAGCAATTTCATGTCATCAAAGTCAATTTGAGCAGTGAGAAAACACTTAGAATTTTTCAGTCCAATCTCATGGGGTTTGTACACAGGGTGTTGAGTGAGCTTCGTATATATGGAAATCTTTCCTCCAACTCTACTGAAAAACCACCTCCCTCTCATGCCACAGTGGGTCTATACATACATGTACATGTACAGTACACACAGGGGACCAAGTTGGAAAAGAAACACGCATCGCGATATCGGAATGCTTGCGCGTTGTTCAGGCAAGTCCAAAGATCTATCTTTCTTTGTTTTTTTTAATCTTTTTTCCATGGAAACTGAATTTTGATTTTCAATTATTTAGCTTGACCCACCCACCCACAATTTGGGAAAAAGATCGAAATTTTAAAACATTGAAAATTCTGAATGGCTCCTTAGGGTGTCATTTGTTTTGGGACACCCTGTACAACACAGTTTCCAAAAGTCTATAGTTTGGTAATCCCCACAAAATGTGAACGAATTTACATATTGGGTGTGTGCTGTACGCTGTCAGCCAATCACTCATTAAAGACAAACAGATTGAGTTTGTCTAATAAAGACTTTGTCACTGAGGTGAGTACATGTACTCCAACAGAAATGAAAAGCACCAGCAATAGTCCCATATCACCATTATTCCTTTCACCTGGTGTGCTAATCCGTAAGCAGCGGGGCAGCACCAAATATGGGATTGTTTGTGGCAGCTTTTTCATTGGGTATTGTTGGCAGAATTTGCATCAAGGTCTGTGAGAGTCAATGGTGGATGACCTGAGAATACAAACCCAATAAACGGGGCAGTGACGTTGGAACGAGGAATGCTGAACTTGAATAGATTCTAAGCTCTCTGGCTCGCTGTAGGTAAACTATTAGGGAATACCCCCGGTACCAATTTGTACAATCAACAATATAGTCTGGGTATTCAGTTTATTTCTCATAAACTGAGTGTACAATTGTACGTGCTCTATGGGGAAGCTTAGATTGTCAGAATAATCTAGGGGTCAGCCTAATTTAAATATCTACGTGTGCACCAATAGGGTGGTATGTTCAGTGTGACCGAGAGTGGTGCAGGAGAAATAGGCCAATCAAACTACAGGGTGGCACAGCACAAACGCATGGCAATTGCTTAATTCTTCTGAGTAACTACCCAGCATGACGTCATCGGGACTATAAATAGGGGCTGGGCAGAAGTGGTTTTATCATTTGCGCGCCTTCGCCTTTGAGAGTAACTTGGATTCTGTTCTTGTCGATTCTGCACTGCACCTTTTTAGTACTGCAATCTTAGATTTGGTTTCTGGAAGAGTTTAGCATTGATTGTTTGTGAGGCCAGCCACAGTTGTGTGTGTAGTGCTGTATACAGGGGAGGAGTTTCTGTAGGTGAGTAGCCATTCTTTCTTTTTGTGTGTGGAATCATTTAGTGACAATTCATGTTGCTAGTAGGACTGCTGTTTGCAGAGTCAGAAATGGGGTACAACTTTGAAGTGCAGTTTTACAATTATCGATCAGCTAATGGACGAGGATTTGGTTCGCAAGTTGATTTGACACTTCAGATGACATCATGTAGCTAGTCGTATGCTGGTGTCCTACGTGTAGTCACCATGACAAATTGGCAAAGGGTTTCAGGTTTAAAGTGTGATCGTGTTTGGTACGGCAACTTGTAGAAGATAACGTGAAGTTTCGATTCAAATGCTAAAACTTTTGTTGTCACATGGGGTTGAACTCCTGTCAGCAGTATTATAGTGTAGTCCACCGAGTTGAGTCCAAGCAGATGGAGTCCAATCGAGTCCAGTCTCTTTTCCAGAAGTCAAGCTATTAAAGTCCAAGTTTCATGATTGAGTCCAAGCTAAATCCAAGCCTAGGCATGAAAACACATTCAGACCACATCACTTACCATGAGCAGTGTTTAAGGGACAACATACAGAGAACAGTTCGTGTAATTATAACATCCTGCTGCATATTGCTTCATAATCTGCAGTGAATATCGTGTGATGATGGTTCTATAAGTTTATTTGAGATGCCTACTGAGCTTGTCTACAATTATGTGAAAATGTGAAGTTAAATGCAGTCATTTAACAATTAGCAAATACATGTACTGTGATGTGGGAATTTTTTATTGTAATGGATTTTCTACTTGTACCGTAAGTTATAATTTAACGAAAAAAGTATACATGTTCTATTTTAAAGCCAGAGTCCATCATCCAAAAAGTAACTGGTGAAAAACATACTGATTGAAAGATAGTAAGGGGACTAAACTCCTTGTGAAATTATTCTTTCTGGCAAGCTGTCATTTTAAAGAAATCACCAAAAGAAGGCCTTTCCAACGTCTTAAGAAGCACCGTTGGAAATTTCTGTTAACTAGTAGTTCGTTTATTCAGCGAAGCGCGTGCAAGCGTTGACACAATGCACACACGCATGGTTGCTATAATTCGTCGGATCGGTGCGCAACATCACGTAGTTGCAATCGGCTCAGTGAGAACTGTTTCGGACGCTGAATTCAGGCCCAATTCAAAATATGATTTAGCAACTTTTGATTCGAAATCGAGATCATAGAATGTTGTTTTTCTTCAAATATACAACTGAAGCTGAGCTGAAACTTCATCAGGTCAATTGTTCAGCACCCTTCTTTAGATTTTG